AATGCTGTGGCATGTCTCGGCAGGGGGAAGAAGAAGAGCCTGGAATCTATGGCACACACCCACGCTGGGGAATCGGCCAAGAACTGGGTAGTTCTAATGAAATACATTTATTTTGATAGCTTACGGCTTTTAAAAAGATGAGAGTGATTAAAGGAAAAAATTTAATATTAGAGATTGACAAAAAGAGTTACGGATATTAAAAAAAGCAGCTAATTTCAGCAACAATGAAACAAAATGAATAAATAAAACAATTTGTAAAAGTAATTAGGAGTAATAATTGGTTCTACAGTCTAAAGCTTTTTGAACCTTTATTAACCTCCTGCAATGCATCAGCAACTTTCCCGTCACTGAATCCTAGTGGCAAATCCACCTAAGAAAGTACAGTATGGCCCACTATTAAGGAACACTCGAATGCACACCATCAATAATCCTGGCCCTCTAAGGCAGGTGGATTAAGAAACGATTTCATGCAAGTCAATAGTCTGTCAAGAGGAGTCGGAACTTTTAACCCCCAGTAGCCTTATGTATATTTAAGCCGCTATGATTCCGTAAGATAGCAAAATCTAAACATGCTGCTCACGCAGGTGTTCCCTTTAACAGTGGACCCATCTGTACATTTGGAGTGTATAACTCCAGTCTATGAGACAGAATGTGGCATATGTTTTACAAGACATCACATAATGACCTGTTGTCTCAGGGACTCCACAAAACCAACAATTAAGGAAAGCAGCCAGATAAGCTCCGTGTAAATAAAAATTGAGATGAGGAGTTTGACACTGTAGCCTAGTGAATAAATGGAGAGGGTGCAAAATGGAAGTAGCAGGACAGTAAAATGTACACTCTGCATCCACCAAGGTGACTCTGACGTCATGGCCTGCTGCTGCCACGCAGCCGCTGCATGCTGACAGTCCTCCGAAAATGCGGCGAATTGTCTAAAGTTGTGTGAAATAGGCGCTGTTGATTGAAACGGTCGCTGCTCCCAAGTGTAATTTCGATGTTTTTGTCAGCTTTTGTAATTCTTGTTCAGTAGCTATTCAATCAAAAGCTCACCCATTACAAACCACTACGGCATAATCAATCATCAGTCAAGCATCAGCAAAAGCATAGGTAGATGTATTGCTCTATATACACACAGCAGGCACCTCGCTAATTATTGGAACGATGAATTATGGCATAGTAGGCAATTCAAAATTGTGCTAGTACTAGGCAAGCTAAAGAGTTTAAAAAGAGCCAATGTTACATGCGCAGGTGTTCCTTTTCTTGTGGTATAGCTGAAGTATCCACTGCAAAGCGAAGCCTGACATATAAAGAGACGATGCTAATAAGGTCAATATATTCTACCACATTCTACTCTTGAAAGGGAAAGTCCTTCACGCCCTTCTACCGTATTTACTCGCATAATAGGCGCACTTTTTTTTCAGAAAATTCGGCTCGAAGTTAGGCGTGCGCCAATTACGCGGGGTAAAATTTTCGAAAATTTTTTCAACTCGGTTCTCGCGCTTAAAATCTGCACACTTGTCAAGTAAAAGGCGACTTTATCGTTTACCAATTAATTCAGCATAAAACAAACATACCTACATACATTTTAATGAACGAGCGAGAGCCGTCAACTGCACACACACACGTAAAATTTATTTCCACAAAAGTCGTAGCTGTTCCTCCTTTTCCCTATTCGGAGTCCGAGTCGGAGATCACACATTCATCCTCGCCGAGCGGGGATTCGTTTTCGGTGTCCGAATCATCCGCACCCCACAACATGTCATTCTCACTCGCATCCAGTGCGTTCGAGATGCCCGTCTTCTTAAAGCTTTTCCTGACGACTTCGTCGGAGATCGCCTGCCACGCTTCCACGATCTAAGCGCACAGCATTTCCACAGGCGGCCTCTTAACCTTACCACCTGTAGTCAGCTGATGTTGTCTTCCAGCCATCCAGGTGGTGTACAGCCTTCGAACATTGTCCTTGAAAGGTTTATTCAAGGACACGTCCAAAGGCTGCAGTATCGATGTGAGGCCGCCCGGAATCACTGCCAGATCTGTGTGCAGCTCCTTTAGCTCATCTCGTACGCGGTCTACTAGGTGCCCACGAAAACTGTCTAGGACAAGCATGGACGGCAACAACAGACCACCCGGCCGCCGACCCCAGACTGTTTTCACCCAATCCACCATGAGTTCCGCGCTCATCCAGCCTTTTTCCTGGACTCTGACGTAGCTGCCTTGAGGGAATTTTGCCTTTGGGAGCGTCTTACGTTTAAAAATAACGTAAGGCGGTAGCTTACGCCCATCCGCTGTCACCGCCAGCATTACGGTGCATCGTTGTTTATCAGCGCCAGACGTTCTGACGATGACGCTCCGTGCACCTTTCTCCTCCACTGTCGTGTTCCACGGCATATCAAAGCAAAGGGGGGTCTGATCAGCGTTGCCGATCTGGGACAAAATGAAGTTTTTCTGCTGTCGGAGCTTTATAACGAAACGGTGGAAGTCCACCACTTTGTCCTCATATGCTGCGGGCAAGCGCTGGCACAAGGTGGTCCGCCTTCGCAGTGCGAGGCCATGGCGCCGCATGAAACGAGTTGTCCATCCGGACCTGGCTTTCAACTCTTTTGCTTCGATGCTCTGCGCTCGGGCTATTCTGCGCACCTCAGTCTGCACAATATCCAACGACACAGCACAGCCATCTTGTCGTAGCTCCCGTATATGCCGGACCAGTTGCTCTTCGACGTTCGGATACCTGCCGGTCTTGGCACCGCGGAAAGCCCGTCGTGTCTTCTTCGTCACCTTAAGTTTTTCTTCTTGGTCCCTCCAGTACCGAATACTGGTTTCTCCAACGCCGAAATGCCTGCTTGCAGCCCGGTTGCCGTGCTCTAGCGCGTACTGCACTGCCTTCAGTTTAAACCCAGCCGTGTAGCTCGCGTACTTCCCCATGGTACTTCCCCATGGTGGAACCAAAAGTTCAATACACGACCACAACATACGCACACCGCTTGCAAAATGGCGTTTCTTTCTTTTTCTGTGATGGTGGTGATGGCGATCGAGCCCCCGGCGTTGTACACGTGACCTCCAAAAAGCGCGGCGATTTGGGGGGTGTCAATAATTGATGGAACAGCCGTTTTTTTTCGCTCATGGACGCTTTTTTTTTTTCAAGTTTTATTTCGACAAACACGTTGGTTAGGTCGTTGCACTTCGAATTTTTTTTATTTGCTCGTCGATTTGCCTTCTTTTTTTCTTCAGGGTACGGGGACCGCGTTCCAACTGTACCGCTGAGGGGTAGAATTGTTTCTGATCACGGCCAAGTTCGGGGTGCGCCTATTATGCGCGGAATTTAAAAAAATCAAATTTTCCGCGACCAAACTAGGGGTGCGCCTATTATGCGAGTAAATACGGTATTTAATGACTGCTTGTGGGCATTTGTTAGATATTGGGATAAAAACTAATGCCCTAAAAGAATATAATTAGATGAGATGCCGCAAAAGGCACCGGTTCTTCAGCGTGCTTAAGCACACAGGCCTCTAGAATTCCGCATTTTTTGAAATGCGGCTGTTGCAGCCAGGGCTTCGTCCTTTGATCTTGGGTCAGCAGTCAAGCCCCAATAAGAACTAGACCACCGGGGTTGGTAGACATAGGAAGAAAAACACATCCATTATTAGAAGCTAGCCAAGAATGTTAACAGCAAGCCCAAAAGTAATTTAAATGCTGTGCTTAGTAGGTGGCTCAACATTCGATTTACCAGTCTATAGTGTGCACAGTTTCGCTTCACGGTACATTGTGCCCGTAGCCAGGGGGGTAACATGGGGCCTAGGCCCTCCACGAAATTCGGACGGTGGGAGGTGTTTTACTGAGAATAAATTGTGAAGATAGGTGCTTTTCAAGGCCTTAAACAAGTGGGCTACTTGCTGAAATATTACTGGCTATGAGCCTGAATGTGCCAAGGATTACTTCGGTCTCAACAACCACTATACAGCCTCATGTCTACTTTATAGCGAGAGGATTTGCCTGATTCAAGTTAGATAGCACTGGCTCTTGGAAGAGCTTATTAGTGCCTCAAGGTTTATATTCAACGATGTATTGAAACACTTGTCCAATGATGCGGGGAAAAGGAAAATATCGTTCGCAGGCACTGCGTAATGTGGCTGCCAGTTATATTAATTCAGAAAAAAAAATGTGTGATATGTGCAGCATCATTTTTGGAACAATACTAGAGGTAGTCCCTCAAAACGTTTACAAAACACTACAAGCTGTAGTTTTCTTGAAATATTATTTATTAAATATGTTAAACAAATTATTTGGAGCTGAAGCTACTGTAATATAATTCTCTAGTAGGCCTGCACGAATAGAAAATTTAAGGTTCGAAGCGATTGGCGAGATTGGTCGAATGATTCGAATCGAATTTGAGTAATGTATGTTGCATATTATAAAGGAAAATGAGCCTATTTGTCACTACCCAACTTACCTGCAAAATATTTTTTTTAAAAAGCGAGACAAGACATGTTAGATATGTAATTTTTTGTGGTTCAAAGGAAGTGCAAGCAACATTGAATGGTAGCAGGATTTGACATTCAGCAGAACGCACGTGATAAATCGTAAAATATGTCACGCTTTTTAAAATATACTATACTTGGAGCACATAGGCCGGTATAACTATCCTTTAACTTTAAAGAATGACGAGTTGGTCCGAGGGTAATATGTTCTTTTCACCTCAAAATAAAGCTTGGCGACACAACGAATTTCCCCTGGAGAGGTGTCTTCTGAAACAGAACTCTGCTGGTACAGTGAAGCAGCCATTACAGGAAGATTACATGCAAAATAATATACACTTCTTCGTTCATTTCGATATACTTCGAAATTTTCTATAATTTGAATTGAAGCAAATTCGAACATTGAATTATTCATGCGAATTTTCGAAGGGCTCGCATATTCGTACAAGCCTATTTTCTAGTAGTGCTTACCATATCGAAGCATGTGAGTAACTATTGGGTTATGCAATAAAAATCATGAAGCAGGCAAAATGTCGGCACAATTTATATTTTGATTAATTCTAAATCACATTGTCTTGCCGAGGACTCTATGTGCCTTTCCTCTTGCTTTGAATACAAGTGTTTCCTAGGAGGTAATAAATTTCTAATCTTCCCAAGTGTCTCCATACTTGTTCTTCTTGCCTGTTGAGGAAAAGGAAAAAGAGAGAGAGAAAAAAAGGAGGCCGCTGTAAGTTATAGACGCAGCACAAACAATGGTAGAAAGTGCCTTGATATTATCACATTTTGAGAAATGCCGTTGAACATGTGACAATGGTGGCATGCTTTAGAAGAGAAAATGAACACCTCAGGAGTATATTTGCTATGATCTAGTACAATACACAGAATCTGATGTGTCTTAAAATTAAAAACAGTGTGTGGTGTTTTGTTCCCAAAGCAGATGCGGGTCGTGAGAGACAACATACAATAAAACCTTGGTGATACAAATCTTGCGAGGTCATAAAAACTCTTATCATCCGAAATTCGTATCTCCGAAAAGACGTGAAAAATGAGTATGAAGCTTCAAAGCTGCCGTACGTTCTTGATTGATGTTTATTGATTGATTTGTAGGGCTTAACGTCCCAAAACCACCATATGATTATGAGAGATGCCGTAGTGGAGGGCTCCGGAAATTTTGACCACCTGGGGTTCTTTTAACGTGCACCCAAATCTGAGCACACGGGCCTACAACCTTTCCGCCTCCATCGAAAATGCAGCCGCCACAGCCGGGATTCGATCCCGCGACCTGCGGGTCAGCAGCCGAGTACCTTATCCACTAGACCACCGTGGCGAAGCGATCGATCTTTCTCAGGCCTGCAGAAAGGCTATGAACAGCTCTGGAGAATAGCCAGTACAGTTTTTAGACATGAACGATCATACTTGTACTCGTCAATATGCAGTACCTGTGCATATGTATTGTGATGTAATGGTGAAGGCAACCTTTATTAGGCCCAGAAGACACGATGAAGTGACCACGCCCAAGGCACAGAACTTAGACAAGCCAAGTCCCCACAGCAGATGAAGATGACGACCACTCATGATGATGAATATGTGTAAAGATAGTAGATGTGCTTAATGAATGCCTACACTAACTTCCCCCTCACAAGAAAGCGGTCATCCTGACCGTAGTTCTTGGCCGCAGTTTAAAGCGAAGATGAACGCCGTATGAAAGGCTTCATGCGGGATACGTGGACTATTTCTGTTGCCCTGTAGCGGCGGTCCGTCGGAAGAAGAACGGGTGCCACGCGATAATTCACAGGAGACGTTTGCTCAAGACAGTGTAGGGGCCAATTAAATGTAATTGAAACTTCTCGCACAGTCCGGGAGTGCAAAAGGGTGTAAGAAGGAGGACTTCGTCGCCAGGGCTGAAAGACACGGCACGATGAGAGGCATCATATTCAAGCTTGCGATCCTGTTGCTTGGCTTCAGTGTTGACGCGAGCCAGCTGGCGGCAATGAAGTAGACGAGACACTTATTCTTCACTTGAAGATGAACATGGTTTGACAGGCGCAGAGAAGAACGAAACATCGAGGAAAGAAGAAGGGAAGCGACCATGGACGAGGAAGAACGGCGAGTAACCGGTTGTGCGCTGTACAGAGGTATTATACGCAAAAGTGACAAATGGCAAAATGGTGTCCCAGTTTCTGTGATCGGGTTCGATATACATCGCTATCGTATTTGACAATGTAAGATGACAGCGCTCAGTCAGGCCATTCGTCTGAGGATGGTAACTGGAGCTTGTTTTGTTTGTAGTGCCGGATGCCTTGAGCACTTCTTCGACGAGTTCTGAAAGAAATACTCTTCCACGGTCGCTCAGGATTACACGAGAAGCTTCGTGTCGCAGGATTATTGCTCAAAGGATGAAGTCGGCCACTTCCGAAGCTGATGCAGAAGGCACGGGAGCTGTTTCGGCATAGCGGGTCAGGTGGTCGACAGCTGTAACTATCCATCGATTGCCCGTGACAGTCATAGGAAGCGGACCATACAGGTCAATGTTAACTACCTCAAATGGTTGCAGGGGACACGGGAGCGGTAGTAATTGTCCACTTCGAGTTGATGTAGGTAGCTTGCGACGCTGACAAAGGGCGCATGAGGAAACGTACTTCGTGACACAGGTGGACAAGCCTGGCCAGTAGTAGTGACATCTTATGCGGTCATACATTTTCTGGAAGCCCATGTGTCCAGAGGACATGTCGTCGTGATATGTCTTGAGGACTTGAGCCCGAAGAGAGCGAGGTAGAACGGGCACCCAGCGTTGACCATCAGGGTGGTAGATATGACGGTACAGGATGTGGTTGTTGAGCTTGAATTGCGTCAGCTGTCGGCGAAGACGGGCGTTAGGAGGCCAGCAAGTCCCGTCAAGACAGTCCATGATGCGGCGACAGTAAGGGTCAGCACGTTGGTGAGATAAGAACAAACCACACTCGCTTGGAGAAGTTGGGTCCACAGTAGCTAATGACGAAACATGTAGGGGAGAGACGGCCGAAAGCTTCTTGAGTGTGGCAGTGGAGGGTTGATTGATTTGTGGGGTTTAACGTCCCAAAACCACCATATGATTATGAGAGACGCCGTAGTGGAGGGCTCCGGAAATTTTGACCACCTGGGGTTCTTTAACGTGCGCCCAAATCTGAGCACACGGGCCTACAACATTTCCGCCTCCATCGGAAATGCAGCCGCCGCAGCCGGGAATCGAACCCGCGACCTGCGGATCAGCAGCCGAGTACCTTAGCCACTAGACCACCGCGGCGGGGCACGCAGTGGAGGGTTTGTTAAGCTGCTCCGAAGAGAGCGGGCAACGCGAAAGTCCGTCGGCGTCTTGATGCTTGTTTCCCGACTTGTATGTGATCGTGAAGTCGTATTCTTGTAAGCGAAGAATCCAGCGACGAAGGCGGCCGGACAAGTTCTTGATTGTCGAGAGCCAGCACAAGGCGTGATGGTCCGTAACCACAGTAAAGTGGCGGCCGTGGAGATAAGGTCGAAACTTTTGTATCAACCATACGACCGCTAGGCACTTCTGTTCGGTGATGGTATAATTCTTTTCGGCAGGGGTCAGTGCACTGCTCGCGTATGCGACGACTTTCTCGCGTGAAGATTTGTCTCGCTGTAGGAGAATTCCACCAATGCCTCGACCACTCGCGTCTGTATGCAGGAGCGTAGGCGCGGTTTCGTCGAAATGGCAGAGGACTGGTTCGGATGTGAGTGCACACTTCAGTTGGGCAAAGGCCGCTACACATTCAGGCGACCACACAAAGGAGACGCCTGATCCGAGCAACTTGTGCAATGGTGAAGCTACTGAGGCGAAGTCTCGAATGAATCGGCAAAAATAAGAAGCGAGGCCGAGGAAACTGTGCAAATCTTTGGCTTTTTCAGGACGCGGGAAGTGTTGGACAGCGGAAATCTTGTCAGGATCAGGACGAATACCGTCCTTGCTTACGATGTGACCTAACACTTTAATCGTCTTGCTCGCAAAACGGCACTTCTTGGTGTTCAGCTGAAGGCCTGCGTTTGCAAGGTACGTAAGAACTTCGTCCAGTCGTTGCAAGTGCTGAGGGAAGGTTGACGAGAAAATAATGATGTCGTCTAAATATTTAGCACAAGCAAGTCTTCCACTTCAAGCCTCGTAAAACAGTGTCGATCATCCGCTCGAATGTTACTGGAGCATCGCAAAGGCCGAGTGGCATGACGTTGAATTCGTACAGCCCATCTGGTGTTGAAAACGCTGTCTTTTCTTTGTCATCCTCGTGCATGGGTATTTGCCAGTAACCTGAACGCAGGTCTAGGCTTGAGAAGTACGCAGCACCTTGCAGTGAATCCAAGGCATCGTCTATGCGCGGCATGGGGTAAACATCCTTGTGGGTAATCTTATTAAGTGCTCTGTAGTCCACGCGAAATCCCACGGAGCCATCTTTTTTCCTTACTAAAACAACAGGGGATGACCAAGGACTCGCGGAGGAACGTTTAATGTTCCTTTGCAGCATATCGACTACATTTTGTTCAATGATCTCACGCTTGGACGAAGAGACGCGATATGGTCAACGGCGTACGATGGAAAGGCTATCGGTCTGGATGCGATGCCTAATAATGGACGTCTGTCCCAGAGATGAGAAATGGGCATCAAACAATCTCCTATGCTTTCGTAGCAAGGCAAGCAACTGATCTGTCTGTGAAGAGGTCAGTTTTGGACTAATAGTCGCAGCAAGAACAGAAACGCTTGATGAACGTCCAATAGAAGGAAGGTCAGAACACGCTGGCATAAGCGAGACAACAGAGACGGGTTGAGATTCAGAAACGCAAGCCATTGTAGTGCCTTTAGGAATGAGAATTTTCTCTGAAGTCTGTTTGTAGCGTAGAAAAGTCCGGAGCCATTGTATTGTGGAACCGCGCTAGACCTGAAGCAAGGGCTATACCTCTTGCAAGACAGCGTGCAGATGGTTGGACAAACACGTCACCAGAATCGATCACATTAGAAGTGATGGCAACTATCCGCTGATGACCAGGTGATAGCTCGGTATTTTCAGCAGCGAGCAAGCGAACGGGCTTGTCATCCGCATACAGGGCATAGTCAGTTTCCATCATATGAACAACATTTTCTCGACAGCAGATGGAAGCGTTCGCCGTAGACAGAAATTCCCAGCCTAATATAAGCTGGTGGGCACACGAACTCAGCACAGCAAATTGCACAAAATGAAGAAAACCAGCTATAAAAACAGGAGCGGTGCACATAGCGGTATGTCTAATGGCGTCCCCTTGAGCAGTGTACAGTGTAGGTCCATCATAAGGGGTGGTGACTTTTCGCAGACGTGAGCACAAAGAACGATCAATCACAGACAAACAAGTACCAGTGTCTATTAAAGCGTCCAGGTACACGCCTTCTAATAAAACAGATATCGTATTATATGGACGCACTGGAGGAATTTCTGTCTTTTCGTTCGATGCAGCTTTTCCTCGAAAAGCTGCAGAGGTTAGTTTTCCGGGCGTTGGTTGGTGAATTGCAAGGCAGGTTGCAATGGAGACGTGGAACGGCGGAGGGGTGAGGGTGAGCGGCGTCTAGTAGAGCGGTAAGAACTGGTTGGCTCAGATGTCGCAGTTGGAGACGGTGAGCGACGTAGTGGCGAATCATAAGGACGACGTTGAAAAACGTACCAGCTTGTCCCATCCTCCCGTTCGTAGGTGTTGAATCCACGACGCACAACCTGCTGATGCTTCCGACAGACGCGTGCAATGTGACCCCGATAGCCGCAGTTATAACAGATCGGACGAGGCAGCCGCCACGGTGGGTGAAAGGGCTGGCTAGGCGCACTCGGAGTCAACGAAGCCAGAGGGACAGGCGTCGAGTGTGCGGGCATCGGTTGTACGACGGGTGGTGAGCCAGCAAGGACTTGTGCGTATGTCGGCTGGAGTCGAGGTACTGGAGAGTCTACATACGCTGGCCTGGTCATGGACGCCAACTCCTCTTTGATAACGTCACGCAAAACAGTGTTGGAGGGGGGAGGTGGACTCGATGTCATTAAGAGGCCGAAAGATTGCAGTTCTTCCCGTATAATCACCCGAATCATGACACGCAATGAGGCATCAGTCGGGGTGGTGTTTTCAGCGCTGTCCGGCGGTAACCGTTGGGTTTCAAGTTCCTCTAGGCGTTTGAATGTTCCTCTAGGCGTTCCTCTAGGCGTTCAAACGTCAGTTTTGAATGACCAAGGCATTGAACGCGACCGTGCCGATCCCTTTCAATAGATGACGAACTCTCTCTGATTCAGACATGGACGTGCTGAAACGGTGACAGAGGGCAAGCACATCCTCTATGTACGATGTGTAGGACTCACCGCATTGTTGCTTGCGAGCATCCAGTGTCTTTTTCGCGAGAGCTGAACGAACCACCGGGGTGCCGAAAATTTGGCGAAGCTGTTGCTTGAAACATGTCCAGTCCGTAATGTCTGTTTCATAATTGAAAAACCATATTTTCGCTACGCCTGTCAGATAGAAAGAAACACGGCGAAGCTTGGTAGGATCATCCCAGTTGTTAGTGGAACTCGCTCGATTGAACTGGTCCAACCAATCCTCCACATCTTCACCTCGAAGTCCTGCGAACGTGGGCGGCTCACGCTGGTGCGCGGTGATAATCCACGATGGATAGGCGGTAGCTGGGGCCGTGGAGGTAGACGCAGAAGCGCCGGTTGGCTCGTCCTGAGGCATGTTACCGGACACCTGGCACAAACGACGACCTGAGCGGAGCTCCAGGAGGCAGATCGAGCTGGGAAAAGACGGAAGATCGTAGAGCACACTCCACCACTTGTGATGTAACGGTGAAGGCAACCTTTATTAGGCCCAGAAGACACGATGAAGCGACCACGCCCAAGGCACAGAACTCAAACCAGCCAAGTCCCCACAGCAGATGAAGATGACGACCACTCATGATGATGAATATGTGTAAAGATAGTAGACGTGCTTAATGAATGCCTGCAGTATAATTAATGAACCATGTGCATAATGACCTGCAAGAACTCGCAGCCCCTTGCTATACTTGGAATGCTCTTCGGCGCGATCCAGAGTAGTGCGGCAAAAGTGACATAAAGAGCGCTTTTCGCATGATATATAAAGCCCAGAAAATTTTAGGATGGCTGTATTTCTTGTTAATATCTTATTTTCGCAGTGGTGTTGGGATGTTTCTTCATAAATTCGCTTTAAATGCTGGAGTGGACTGGGGGGAGGCATTTCTGATGTCAGTAAACTCTGAGGACCAGCTACGGCTAGTGGAAAGGGCTCCTCAGGCGTTTGTGTCTAGCCATGGCTACCTGGAATGAAAACGTCATCCGCCTCTGGGCAAAGAGAATGCGTGCCTGGTTGCAAAATAAAGTTCAATTTTTTCTCTCCCATGCCAATCCCAGAGTTAGCAGATGTGCTCGTCCCCAACAATCATGCATGTCCCAATACGAGGCTTAGCTCCTTCAGCAAGACCGTTCACTTCCTCTTTTGGTTCTTGTCCATTTCTTATAAGATGTGTTATTGGAAGGACATGGCTTGCATCGATGCGGTAGGCAGGTGTACCTTTTATAAGTATACCTGCCCAATCAGCACGTGCCAACACATTTAAAAGAAAAAACAAGGGAGAGTGCGCGACCTCAACATTATCTGTCATGTAAACACAAAGGCATACAAAGGTGCATTAGGCCTCTAAGATCCGTGCGCACGATCTTGGAGGCTACAACGTATCTTGATAATCATCATGATGGCCATTCTGACATGATATCAGAATTCGAAATGTTCGACTAGTGGCGTAGCGCACGAGCTTGGATTCTTGTGCTTGCACGTGCACGTCACGCTCTTTGCGACAGCGCAGACAGCGTATGTTCGTACCTGTGCGGCACATTCGTATATCGCAGGGTAATCAGAACAGCTGTGATTACACTGCAGGCCAATAGCCCTTGGCCATGACTCCAGAAAAATTCGTATCATCCTGAAATTCGCACGAGCCGTGATCGTATTACCGAGTTTTGCTGTATTTGGATGCATAGCTGAGGATCAGTCTAGACTGCTTGATGCAATAGCTACATGCCATTAAAGCTTACCTTCCATATTTGTACAACAACAGCTAAAAGCGAGCACTTATAAAGTAGGCTTTATTACTGAACCAACAAGAAATTTTCTTAGATTGCAAAACTTTTTTTTCGAGCAACTAGTCCTATCAGCGCCAAATGAAACCCGAACAGTGGCAAGCGTTTGCGATAGTGTAGTGTGTGCCGTCCAGTTATCATGATTCACATCCTGTTCGGCAGCTTTCTGCATATATGCGAGCCTGTTCGTAGCGATAAGTGGATGGTGTGCGCTATAGCATCGCAAAGGCTTGCCGCTGCTCGGGTTTCATTTGACGCTGATAGTACACCTTTTTGCGCTACATTCGGGAGGATGCAAAGATTCTCCCTCTTATGTACTTCACTTACTCCAGCTGTTGGCTGTGTGCACAACTTGCATCTGCTAGAGCCAATGTAATTATCGGTAAAAACAAAGTACATATACTACTCTACGGGGCTTGGAGTTTGCATGTGGCGACTTGACACGTTATCGAGGCAATGCAATCAGAATATGGAAAAAAAAAAGCTGAAATCTGTTAAGTCGCAGTGGCTTCCAGGTTCTAAAATTTTGGCAAAAAATTAAAAAATGAAATCTCGAGGATCATTTTCTTAATGAACCTATGATAGGGGAGTCAATGAAGAAAAAGCTTCTAAAAGACAATCACTTTTAACTGATTTTGTATTTTAGCATGGTTGCCTTTTAATGTATGATGACCTTAGACCACTCAAGTGATATTGAAAAAACACAAAAAACAAATCAAACCTGTGCCACCGCCCGATGGTGCAGAACTGGGGATTCTTGTAGGATAGCCCCTCTCTGTCCTTCCATCAAAGGACTTAGACGGAGGCAGCACAGGAGGCTGCGAAGGAGTGAGTGGAGGCTGCTGTGACAAAGCAGGTGGTGGCAGCTGCGATGGGGGTGGCGGTGCCGAAAGGCGCCTCTCGTATTCGTCACGATTTCGTCGCCGCAGCTCTTCGTATGTGGTCGAGTACTTAGCTGGCGGAAGGTTCTCAGGCACCTCAGCGATAACTGGGTCTGATGGAGGAACAAGCAACATAGCACTCTTTCTTGGTCTGATAGTCACAAGCGGGTAGCACACAAAAAGTTAGAGTGTGTCGCTGCAGTGAAAGCTAACTATGGTACATGGATGCAAAAGACAATTTAACATATTGGGCACCATTCACATGCATGGCTTGTCACCTTTCCAATCCAAACTCCTTTTGTAACAGATTTGTAAAATACACCAGTCTTTGAACACAATCGAATGTAAAGAACAAATTTTAGCGGAATTTCCGTCAACAATTTTACTTGTAAACAACGCATAGTTCGAGGCAACTCTATTGGCTGTTGACTGAAGTTGCATTTATTAAGAAAACAAATGGAAGTGGCGAATGTGTTGTGAGGGTGCGATCACCTCCTGTAAAGTGGTTTGAGCCTTGTGCAGCCCATACGCATCTTGCGTATGGGCTGCATTTAGGTTTAGCCGCCAAGTGAGAGATAGCGTTGTGCTCGCGCGCGTTTATCATCATCATCGTGATGGTTAGCACGGCAGCGCTAGCAGTGACGCCAGGTGGGGAAACCGAGTGGCGGCACATGAGACATAACACGCTGTCTTTGGTGCATGGCGGCTGCCTGTGAATGGTCTTCTCCTAACAGAGTTCCTGCGAGCCGTCTCCTGTAGGGTCTCTCGCGGCGAGTTGAACATTGGCGACGATGCCTTGACATTAACTTGTATTTATTATGCTGACTGAGTGTACTGAAATAGTGTATAAGGTTATTTAGCATGTTGATCACTAGTGATGTATTTCAGTCGACTGGAAATATTGTCATTGTAAAAGTAATGAATAACTGTGCACAATATTTGGTTTGGTTTGACCGTGTCTACTGGCTCCATGTGTTCCAAGAGCATCGCTCATCAAGAGACCCTACAGCGTGCACTCGCTCTATATGATCAGCAAATGCAGAATGGGTCATTCAGTTATTTGCTTGTGGATTCATCTATACACACGATAACAGAAAATGTTCATGCTTAATATATAAACAGCATTTTTAAAAACAGTATGATGCAACTTCGAACAAAATACAACCATTAGCTTATGAGAAAAAAGTGGAATGTACAGTGCAGACCACTTATAACGTAACCGCTTTTTGCGCGGGACCGGTTATAACGAGGGTTTTTTTGACCACCGATATGTCGCCCATAGAACTCAATGTATAGGCCGACCGTTCATTGCGTAGGCGCGTGAAGGAGAATACTGGTTATAGCGCTGAGTTTTTAGGCGCGCGACCATAAAATCGGCGAACGGAGCACGGTCGGCACGGTTTCCTGGCGGCATTCCCGGCGCGCCGGAACGTTGGGTGTGTGAGCGGGAGGGCGCACGTGGAGACCGCCGCGAAAAGTCAAACATTGCGGAGGAGAAGAGAGGGTACAGTAGGGAGGGAGTCGGGGAGACCTTGGAAGGAGAGAGCGTGTTTTCGTCACCGTGACGACCGTGGCAGCGTCCAATCCGGGTGCGCGCTGCGCGGAGTGGAGGAGAGAAGCAGTAGCGTGCTTTTTTTTTTTTTTCTCAAGCTCCTTCTTTTGCCTCTTTGAATTTGCTGTGTGCGCTTCGCCGTGTCATTGCCGCCTGAGAGCCCAGAGCACGTGTGTTGCGTAGCTTCTGTCGCCATGGCGTCGGCGGCGTCTTCAAGCAGTGTGAAAAAACGCCGTGCCTTATCGCTGGAGATTAAGAAATGCGTCATAAGGGACATTGAGAGTGGCATGAAGAAGGCGTATGGTGGCGGCGAAATACGGCGTTTCCGACACGACCGTGTCGACCATCTACAAAAACAAGGACAAACTGCGGCAGCAACTGCAGCAAGATTTGTCTTCCCTGTCACGGAAGAGAATACGTACGTCAAAATACGAAGACGTGGACGCAGCGCTGTTCAGGTGGTTCCGCGAAGTTAGGGCTCAGAGCATCCCAGTAAGTGGCTCCATGATCCAACAAAAGGCCAAGTGTCTCAGAGCTCTTTTAGGCCACGACGATTTCAATCCACTCAACGGGTGGATTCAGCATTTCAAAGATCGCCATGGCATCAGCTGCAAAGTGGTGTGCGGAGAAAGCGGCGCTGTCGATGACGAGTCTATCGAAGTCTGGCTTCGCTTGAACTTGGAGAGTATGCTGACAGAGACATTTATACTGACAGAGACATTTATACTGACAGAGACATTTATAATGCCGATGAAGCTGGTTTATTTTATAACCTTTTGCCCAACCACACGCTTGCGCTGAAAGGTGAAGCCTGCTCCGGCTGCAAGGTCTCAAAGGAGCGCATAACTGTATTGTTTTGCACCAATTTGGGCGGGAGCGACAAGTGCCGCCTCTTTGTCATAGGTAAATCGGCAAGGCCACGTTGCTTTAAAAAGCGAGAGTGCCTGCCAGTGACTTACAAAACCAATAAAAAGGCGTGGATGATGCAGGATTTGTTCACCAGCTGGCTTTGCAAGTTTGATGAGGATATGGTGGCAGAGAAGCGGTGGGTCGTGCTTATCCTCGACAACTGCACGGCCCACAACGTCAAGCCGAAGTTGACCGCAGTCAACCAAAAGTTTTTGCCTGCCAACACTACAGCAAAAAGTCAACCTCTCGACCAGGGTGTCATCGCAACCGTAAAGGCGCTGTACAAAAAGAGCATTTGCAAAAGAGTTTTGCTGAGCATGCAGCAGCAGCCTCTTAAAGTGAACTTAAGAGGCGCAATTGACATGGTGGTCGCTTCATGGTGGCAGGTAAAGGCCGAATACCATAAGCAAGTGTTTCAAGAGGGCAGGCCTCGTGCGCAATGCAGAGGCTCTGGAAGACGATGAGCAGAGCGACACGTCGCTCGCTGATGAGACCCTCAACACTGACGATGTGTGGTCCTGCCTCGTTGACAGCAACTTTGTAACCACCACCGACACTTTCCAAGAATTTGTCGATGCCGGGGAGTCAGAGCTTTCTGTCTGCGAGGAAGCGAGCACAGATGACGCGATTGTCGCAGCGGTGCGCGGTAGTGCGGAGGTTGCAACGGACAATGAGTCGGACGGCGAAGACGATGTCGACCCGACGCCAGAACCGGATTTCCCGTGCAAAGACGCATTGGAATACCTCGCTAAAGTGAAAACGTACTGCGCGAAAAACAGTTTGAGCGAGAAATCGCTTCAGCACTTAAGCTTCGTGGAGGCCGAAAATGTTCGCAGTGCTGTTCGCAAGCATCGCCAGACGAAAATAACGGCGTTCTTCCGCTGATGCCGGACTTGAGAACTTCGTTTCCGTGCGGTGTTGTGATTGTGTTGAATGTGTCTGCGAGTGAAAAGTGTAGTAAATTGCTCTTGAAAGGTGGGTTGCCCTTTTGACATAGGCAAAGGCCGAAAAAAGCATGCTTTGGTTATAACGCGGTACCGCTTATAGCGCGGATTTTACAACTCCCGTGACTTACGTTATAAGCGGTCTACACGGTATCTGTACCATTGATCCCTGAAAATACAAGACACCTGTTCCACTGCCTCCACCGCCTCCCATAAGGGCGCCTCCCAAAGCTGTAATCCTTTCACTAAATTCTTCATACAGAAAAGGCCCAAAGAGATTGGTCCACGGGGACACTTCAGAAATCACAAAAAAAGGCAAATCTGGCGGTACTCATTTCCAGCTGTGGTACACAATTTGAAGTCCAATCAGATGTGCTGTGCCCAAAAGCTTTTTATAGAGCTTGTACAAAATATATATTACAAGTAGGCTTATGCGAACATTAGAATTCTTCGAATATTTTAACGAGTAGTCGAGTATTAGAATTTAAATGATTGAATGTTTTCGAAGTATTCGCAATGAACGAATAAGTGTATACCGTAATTACTCGAATCTAACGTGCACCTTTTTTCTGGTTAAGCGAGTTCATAAATCACATGCGCGTTAGAATCGAGTGCGAAAAAAAAAAAATTACGGTCAATCTATCGCCATCTGCAATTCCAAAATGGCCGCCCCCTACGTGCGTCGACATGGCGCGTCGGCCATTTCTGCCTATGTGTTTCCCATGTGCGGCACTTCGTACGTGTGCTGAGGAGTTCGTCATCTAGTAGTGCATTAGCATCGACGGCATGCAAGGGCCGACTCGAAAAACTCGACGAGTGCACCACGATGCCGCTTTTAAAGGAAAAGTCATCGCGTGTGCAGAAACAGACGGAAATCTGGTCGCATCGCGGTCGTTCGGAGTTCCCGAAACGTGCGTGCGGGACCGGCGGAAACAAAAGCAGAAGATTGTCGACAGCAAAGCTTCACGCAAAGGCTTCAGTGGACCACAGCAGGGTCGGTTTCCACAAATTAAAGAGCTGCTGGGCGAGTATGTGCTTGAGCAGCGAGCGGCACAGCGGCCCGTGATGACAGAACTGCTCCAAGTGCGGGCTATGCAATTAGTCTTAGAAACAGGTCTAATGCGGAGCCAATTTAAAGCGAGCAGGTGCTGGCTAACTAACTTTATGAAGAGGAAAGGCTTTTCCCTCTGAAGGGGAACATGCATATGCGAAAAGTTTTGTGGAGGAGTACGATGAAAAGCTTCACAGTTTTCAGAGGTTCGTCCTAAACTTGCCGCGCAACAACGGCTACCTGCTTGGGCAAATCGGGAATGCCGATCAGACACCTCTTTGCTTCGACATGCCTGGCAACACAACTGTCGAGAAGAAGGGGGCGAAGCAAGTTCGCGTGCTGGCATCGGTCGACGGTAAAACTACAGTGACGGCAATGCTCTGTTACACGTAAGATGGGCACAATCTTCGCCCGTACCTCATATTTAAATGGAAGACGCTCCCGAAAGGAGTCGTTTTTTCGAGTGTTGTGATCGTGCGGGCCAGCGAGAAAAATGGGTGCGCGCTGCAATTGATGTCTTACGTTTTTTTTTTCGCGGTGGAAATCGGGTGCGCGTTACAATCGACGGCGCGGTAGAATCGAGTAAATACGGTATTAGTCCGCATGTGTATAGATGAGGTGGTTTCACTGCAGTGTAGTGGTGCTAAGCCATGAAAG